TTCAAGGCCAGTCTGCAGCTCGTGTTTTCATACAGTCTGAGTTGCTCGTGTTTGGCTTTTCTGAGGCGCTGACTGCGGAGAAGGTTAAGCAGTTCAGTGGTTGAGTCGCTGGTACAAAAACAGACCTACAGATTTCTGATCCAGTACACACACCAAAACAACATGCTATAGAGAAACAGCCCAGCTGGACCCAAGTATACGTGCTATCACATTACACACCCCCAATGTTTATTTACAAAGCAAACCAAGTAGGACTGCCATCCCTCCAGGTTTCCTTAAACATGTACTTTTCCTGCCCAGAAATTGTCCTTGGATCAGGTTTTTGGTGGGAGGGGGTGTAAAGGAGCTGTGCATGCAGGACCTACAGACAGCAGGCTTCTCCAGCACATTACCAAGAGGTGAAAAGCAGGTGTGCATAGGAGGGCTCATCCACAGCTGCTGTGGGCTCTGAGGTACCCAATATGACATGATTTTTGGCACCTGTGCTGTGGCTTTCCTCCCAGAGAACACACCCATCGTCCCACCCGGGTGACCTCAATTGGCACCACAGAAGAAAACATCTTTCCAGGGACTCTGCAGCTTCACAGAGCTGCCCTGCACACCACAGTACTGCACTGAGCTGGGTCAGCACACCACCACCCTCCCCCCCCAAAATCTATGGGAGCATTTCCAGGTTTTGAACTGGACTGGTCCGAGGATTGCGAGCACTAGCAAGCAGAGGAAAGTGGTGGCAAAAATGGCCCAAAAAGGGGAATTTCCCCTAAGGGCTGGGGAACTTGATATCAGTACCTGGAGCTGCATACTGAAGCCTCTGCTAGCTTTTTACAGTTTCACAAAAGCCTGAATTTTTCTGCCCTGTACACCCACCTTATTAAGGAAAAAGCACTTTTTTTTCCCCAGGAGAAGAGATTGTTTAATTCTCACTTCAGTAGGGCTACACAAATCACAACACAAGGCGGGTGAAAGCCCTTCACTTTATAAAAACGCCTCTGTATCCTCTAAGAGCTGTTAATAACCATTTTCCAAAACCCCACTGACTGCACTATTTGTCCAAGGGCTCGAAGTCCTCTAGACCTATGGCTCCGGGGCAACAGGTTCCTAATTACTTAGGTTACAGCATCATCACCGCCAGATTAACAAAGCATTGGAAGGTGACTGAGGCCACCTTACAGACCGCGATGGCGAAGAGAGGCGATAATTCACCCAGCGTGCCCAGGGAGCCGAGGATGCCTGCGAGACACCTGCAAGACCATGGCCACACAAGGTCCAGCTGCAGCATACTAAACACACACAGCAGAGCAGATCGCTTCATCATATAAGCCCTGATGCAGCAGGGCATAAAGCCACAAAGAGTAATTACAAAGAGAACTATTTTTAAGACACATAGCAACGGTTTAGTGTTTCTTTTGTCATCTCCCCCTCCCCTCTTTGCAGCAAAGATGCTGGAGCGTCAGACAGGTTCCCAGTCCCTGACCTGCCCAGGTAAAAGCCTGCCCTAGGCATGAGAGCTCAGGAAAGGCAGGGCAGGCTGGCCCTTGCCTCCTCGCTGCCCAGCAAACCCAGGGAGACACAGCCCCATTCACCCCCCGCTGCTGGTGTTGGTACCTGCAGTGCTGCAGCCCCACAGCCAGCAGCACCAAATGCTGCTCCCATCCTGCTCCAACGGCCTTGGCACCCACAGCCCCCCTGGGCAGGGCTGGGTTTGCAAAAGGGCTGGTACCAGTGCCTAGGGCAAGAAGCAGCTCACAACCAGCTGCTGCTATCCTGGAAGGAATAAGGAAGCTTCCCCAAGGGGCTAAATACACAAAGGCTGGGATCAGCAGGTTTCCTTAATGAGGATGCTGCTGTACGATACATCACTGGAAAACCTTTGCAGCTGAGTGTGCTTTGGGAAAAGGACTTGACCTGAGCCTTGCCCAGCTGACCTGCTGTGGCAACCCCCAGTTAGGGGTCATGGCTCATCCTCCCCTCATCTGGCTCACCTGACTCATGGGGAAGCTGACCCCCTTTTCACCCAGCGCCTGCTTTTTCCAGTACTGCTGCACACACTGGCCCACGTGCAAAAGCAACGTTAAGAGAAATTCAGTTCTGCAAAATCTGAGGGCTTTCCACTGCCACAGCTGCTGCAGAAAGCCCTCTGCACCTCACATGTGAGGGCTTTTAGGCACTAGAAATCAATGATAGCCCACAATAGCAGATGTTTCTCCTCTAAGCACAACATTTACCAGAATGACCAACCACCCATACTCACCTGGCCACATCCCCACAATTAGTATTTGTAAGGGAAACTGGGATTCTTAAGGACAATTTCTTTCTGCTTCTGTACCCCCAGAAAGTACTCTAGTGTGCATATCACTCTTCACTTGGGTTCACTCACTTACAGGGTGGGATGAGAGATGCTAAGGCACTTCAGCAACAGCCTGTACTGTCCCTACATGAAGAAATGCCTGTTGATAAATCACTCTGCCCTTCAGTAGAAAAACAAAAACAACAGATGGGAACAGGAAGAAAATGCACATATATTAAAGGCCTAAATTAAAGTTTTCCCCCAAAATACACAATTCAGCAGCGCCAAAGACCAAAGAGCCACAGAGGAACACCTCCCAGACCTGGCGGTCGCCTCTAGCCTGGCTGTAAGCTTGCTGCGGGTGTCGGGGTGCGAGGCGTGACAGCGAGCTGCCCTGCCACCTCCCACGCTGCCAGTGCTCATCAGCCCAGCCTTCGCTGCAAGGAAAAACCACCTCCCCACTTTGCTCCAGTACTCCAGGAAAACCTGTTTCTTGGGAAACTTGCAGTTTGTCTGTTCAGTGGCTGCTTGTGCTATTTGGCAAGCGAGTTTTGGAAGAGCAAAGCCAAGCACCTCGGTGGGGGCTCAGGGTGAGCATCCCAAAATGCCGCATGCCCCAGGATGTAGAGCCAGAGTCACCGCACAAAAATGGCAGGTGCTTTAACAGCAGCTGTGCAAGGAAGTAGTGCTGTTTTAGAAATGTATGCCATTTATATCTGAACTAGCCAGTTTTATACCTGACCTTGGCATTCAGGCAGGGTTCCCCAGGAGCTCGGGGAAGAAGAGGGGAGAGCGGGCAGCAGTGCCTGTCCCAGCACCAGGCAGAGCTGGGCATCGTTCAACAGGCACAAAACGTTCTCAGCAAATGGCTTTTTATTCCACTAGATGGTGCTCAGGCCTTGCTTATGGATGTTGGTTAATGCGTGGACAAGGATGCAGTCAGGACTGGGGATGGAGGTGGCTGGGCACCGCGCCAGGGTCCCCATAGGGCTGCAAAACCACCCATCCCAGCCCTGCCAGCAGCGAGACTCCACAGCCAACCCCTTCATTTGCCAGGCAATGGCATACGCCGAGCCCGAGCTCCCTGGAGCACTGCCGTGGTCCATCAGACTTGGGGTGTGATGTGCCATGGCAATTCTGGGGGTGAGTTGCCCAGCCCAGGCTGCCAGCAGCCCTGCGGCCCCTTTTGCTCTGAGCTGGGTGGGCTGGCACAGGAGGTTCATGAGCCTGTGGGGGTCTTGTGGATGCTGCCTCACGCCTGGGAAGCTGCAGGCAAACCCCTGCCCCAGGCTGCTTAAACCTCCCTGTCCCCACAGCAGTGGCACCAGGCAGCTTGGCACAGCTCCCCTGGGGGCAGCGGGGCCTGATGCCCTGGTGTGGGGCGTAGTGGGCACATGCAATTTTTGATCATTTCCACTGGAGAGCATGAGCTCTAGCAAGGCAGAGCCCTGACAGCTGGTGTTACTGATAGCACCAGTGAGATACGCAGTGTTATCCTTGTCCTGGTGGTCCCAGCATCAGTCACGCATGCTCAATCCCTAAGAGCCAAGTCTATGGCCTGAAATGGGACCTGCCCCTTCCCCACATGTGGCCGCGTGGAGGGCAGGGGAGCAGGTGCTCTGCAGGTACATGGCTGCCATCGTAGCTGCTCCGACCTCCTCTCCCCACACAGGCACAGCGCCAGTGGGGAGTCCCGTCCCGCATGTACTGAGGGCGGCACCTCTCCCTGCGAGGCTCGACGCCGCTCCCACCGTGCTGTTTCCTCCAGCGTGCTGCCAAGCGCACCCATTTTAGCAGCTTCTCGGACAGAAAAAGCAACCTGCAATTGCATAAACAGTGATTAACTTTGGGCACCACCGGTGGCACGGCTCCCGCCTGTCGAAGCCCAGCCTGGCTCACGTGTGGGGGCCAGCAGTAGGAATGGCGGCGGCACAGCCGAGGCGTTATGGTGCTGCTGGAAGGGCGGTGGGGTTGGCAAGCACCCTGGCATCATGCTGGAGGGCACAACGGGGATTTCTCACTGCAGGAGATGGACGAACCGCAGGGGAAGATGCTCTGTGAGGCTCCCCAGCAAGGACAAACTGCCTGGGGAGGTGAGTGGCCCTGGGCAGGAGCTGGGGGGGGTTTGATACCCCAAGGGAGGAATGTGCGGGGCCAGTTGGCCAAATTGCAGCCCCGGAGGTGATGGCTGGGCCAGGGATGTGCTGGGGCCAGAACCTCCTCAATGCCTGGGGACCAGCGGCCCCGCAGCACGCTGCTCACGGCAAGGCAGCTGCTTAAAGTCGTGCTGCAAACACCAAAGTCATCAGAGCCTTAGGTACAGAAATGCCTTTATTTCTCCATTAGGCTGGAAGTGAAACCGCGAGGACAGAGGCTTTTTCTCACCATTTATTTACTCACTTCGCATCAGTGCACAAACAAGGCTACCCTATGCTGTGTAGCAGGATTGCTGTTACATGGCTGTCTAGAACAGCAAACCCATGCATCTTTGTCACAGTGCTGAACGCAGCCCCCCTCAAATTAACAGCAGGATTGCATGAACCAGTGATTTTTGGATCCTGGGCTGCGAAGCACCGTCCAATCCCCAGCAATGTGCGAGGTGCCCCTCACCCAGGCGAGAGCAGCGCCCGCAGCAGGGATGCTGGGGGGGGATGACACGTGGGACCCCCCAGCTCCACCGCTGAAACCCGCTGGGGTGGACACCAGCAGCCCCTCAGAGGGTCCCCCGGCTCCAACGGCCATGGGGGTGCCCTGGGGCTCCCCATCCCGAGGGCCGCAGTCCTGTCTGTCGGCTGTCGCTGCGGCTGCCCTGCTCCCCCTCAGATGACTGGCTGCTGTCTGCACTCCCAAGGCTGGTGTAACGGCCATGGGGGCTGCCCCCCGCCCCACCGAGGGTGTAAAAGGCCCGCTCACGGACATGGAGCTCGTCGGCACGCTTCACCTGGTCCACCTGCCTGCTGCGGTCCAGCGTTGCGAATGCCCCTGGTGCCCCGGCCCCCAGCCTCCTGCCGTGGTGCCCGGGGAAGCGGCTGACCCCGGACCCCGCCCCCCTGGCCTCGCCACCTCGCCCCCGCTCCTGGCCTTCGCCCACCGCCACGCTGCCCCCAGCTTGCCCTGCCTGCGCAGGGAGGCTGCCCCCTGCTTCGGTGGCACGTGGCCTGCCCCTGGCATTGCTGCCATGGCCGCCAGCCCTTGCCTGGGCCCCACTCGATGCCCGACTGCTGGCTTTCCTGTGTGGGGATGGCGCTTTGTCCATCCTGGGTGGCTTTTCCAGCCCCACTCCCCCTGGCCGGACCCTCGCACCAGCCCCGGGCCGTCCCTCCCCGCGGGGCTGGGGGGTGGCTAGCTCTGCTTCCCCGCTCCCCCCTCTCCCCACCACGGCACTCTTGCCTGCCTTGTGGCCGCTGGCCATCCCCGGGGCAGTGGTGCAGTCCCCCTCACTTACCCCGGGGGAGGCCACGGCAGTGCCCAGGCAGATGCTGGCCTCCTTGGCTGGGACAGCAGCAGTGGCCTCCTTGGCACCCTCCTGGCGGGGGTTGGTTACAGCCAGGTGGCCCGGCCTCCCCTCGAACCTCTGCCCCTCACCTCTCACCTCATCATCACCGTTCCCACGGATGCCAGCCCCCACAGGGCCTGTAACGTCACCACCAGCGACCCTCCAGGGGCCGGGGGCCACCGGTCCTTCTCCATCACCAACAGTAGTGGCATCATCCTCATTGTCTCCTGTGGGACGGCCATCCCCGGGGCTGCTGGTGATGCTGTCCACATGGCTTGGGGTGGCTGTGGTGGCCAGTCCTTCAGGCTGCCCGTGAGCAGGGATACCATCATCATCATCGCCATCATGTGCCGCAGTGACGCCCAGCCCAGGCAGGGAGCTGCTGGTTCCCGGAGTGGGGATGCTGTCATCCTCGCTGCCAACAGTGACACCAGCCTGGGTGGTTTCTTGCTTCCCCACATGGATGTTAGCCCTCCCAATGAAGATGTTGACCTCATCGTCCTTGTCCGGAGAGATCTGGGTGAAGCTGGTGCCCCTCACTGTGCTGCCCACCTTCCCGTGGGTGACAGTGATGCTCCCTGAGTCGGGGATGTAAGCGTATTCATCCACACCTTCGGCATCAACTTGGACGTCCTCCGTCTTCTCGGTGACGGAGGCAAGAGCAGCACCTCCTGTCCCTGTGCCCCGCATGACAGCCTCCTGCCCTTGGCCAGGGACAGTGACAGTGGCCTCACCGCTGCCCTCATCCCCAGCCCCTCTGGTGGCAGGGGCCCCCTCCCTCCCGGCTGTCGTGGCCCCCTCCACTGGAACCCCTCTGGGAGCACCATCATCCCTGTCCTCACTCCTGACACTGGACCTGTTCCCCGCCATGGCCTCGCTGGGGCGTCCTCCCTGAGGGAGAACAGAAACACCACTGTCGACTTCAACCACAAAATCCAGGTCACCGCTGCCCTCCGAGCTGGCCAGGGTGGGACCCGCAACACTGACACCGCCACGTGCTTGCGTGCTGGTGCCCAGGCGAGGACTGTGAGCATCCCCGCGAATGCCTGGGGCACTGCGGTTTTTGGGCTTGAGGCTGGTCCCGTTCTCCATCACACTGGTACTGCCATTGTCACCTCGCTCCGGGGCTGCCCCATCCTCCGTCGGCCCCTGCCTGGCATTGTCCTCACCCAGCTGCTGACCGGGGACAGTGCTCTGGCTGTCAGCCTCTTCCTTCTGTGCAGTACACACAAGGGAGAGGTCAGGGCCAGCCCCAGTGCTTGCCGGCTGCACGGGGCGCTGCAGCCAAGCCGGGGTCCTGCCGTGCCGCCTGGCCACCTCCTCACCTTTATCTGCGTCTGGTTCCTCCGCGTCGAAAACGAGTAGACATATTTGAAAACGTAGAAGCCATGCTTGGCATTGCAGCCTTTCAGCAGTATCTGGTGGGGAAGAAAATAACCAAAACATACAATTTTCTTATTAAATGTGACGGCAGTAGCTTCCCTTGCTGTGCCTGGCACCGCACCAGGGTCCCACCAGCACCCACTGGGGCCCCAGGGTGGGTGGTAGCTCCCATCACCTCGTGGCCACCAGCGAGGGCAGGGACCTGGGCAGGATGCATGTGTTTGCCTCCTGGGCTCCGGGGTTTGGTTTCCCCTTGGGCTTGTTTTCTGACTTTGCTTGCTTTCAGGAGCTGTGGGTTTTTTTGGTTTTGTTTTGGGGGTTTTTTTTGCAAGGTAGCTTATGGCTTGAATAAACAACCTGGTTGATGGTCCCATCAGACATGAGTGATGGGACCAATGGCGACCAAAGTGCTGGAAGGACAGCAGCTGGCTTCCAATAGGCAAAACCAGGCATTTTCTTCCATGCTACTCATCTGAATTTTGCTACTGATGCATTTTACACTGATATGTCTTGAAAATAACCCATAGCAGCTGGGCCTGGGAGTTTCACAACCTCACCTGTGAGTGCACCAAGCATTTGTGCTCTGGGGCTGGGCAGGGGCAGAAGAGCAGCTGGGGTGGGAGGGGGAGCCCTTCCCTCGCCTGATCACATCACACCTTTCCCCTCCCCTGCTCTTTGTAAGGGCTGCTTGGATGCAAGGGGACTGCTGGTCTCTTTTTCCATGGCTCACCAGGGTTCCCTCCAAAAGCATCTTTTTCTCCCTGCACCCCTGGTGCAGGGCACCCCACGGGGTCCGGATGGGGTGGGGGACACATACCCGGTGCTGTCCCACGCAGTTCCCGGCAGCTCTCCCGGACAGCGGCGGTGGAACCTACAGGCAGCAAAACAGAAGTGAGAGCGGAGGTGTGAAACGCTGTCCCAGCATCCAGGCGGCTGCCGATGCCCACTGCTGGCTGCCCGCCCTGCCCAGCGCCATGGGCATGACACAGCATCCAGGGAAGGGTGGGAAAACTGTGTTGATGAGCCAGTAAATTCCCAAGCACTACCTGGAGTGCCAGCTTAAAGCGAGCAATAGGAAAGGTTAATGACGCATTTCCAGGGTCTGAAAAGCATTGCAAATTCTGCTACAGCATGCTTGCATTGTACGCTACTTTTAATAGGACATTGTTGGTCTGCAAATACCCTTTTACTGGATTCTGCTGCAGAGTATTTTTATTGCAGGGCAGTTTTAATATGTGGCACCACTGCTCACACCACAAAGCTCCAACTTATGGCTGGGATCTGACTGCAATGGGAACCTGAGGCTGGTTAACTGGTGGTGATTCCCAATATTTACTGGGCAACTGAGCAGTGATGCCCATGCCCTCACAGTCAGGTTTCTGCACATGCTTGCAAGCTTCTGGCTTCCCCTGATTATCCTGGCACCGTTTGGGATTTATTGGCCAGTGCATCCCTCAGGAATGGGGGATCTGAATGTGGGAGCATCCTGTGAGCCCCACCAAGCCATTTCGGGGCATTCCCTGCATGGCAGCCGGGGAGACAGCCCCATGGAGGGGAGCCCCCTCTGGTCACAGCAAAATCAGCCACTGAAACACCCAAGCCCAGCTGAAAGGGGCAGAAACGCACCCCAGAGTATTAAATATTCCTGGCTTATTCCATTGTTTGTGAACAACGTCAAAGGCTGGATTACAGCCCTGGGTACGCAGCAGAGTATTAACTGGCTCTCTTCTGTGCCCCTATCTGAAAAGCAAATCTGCGCTGATTTATTGCCTTCCCCCGTGCTGCCCTGTGACAGACTGTGTTGTGCAAGCCTGCCCTGGGGGCTAAAGGACACATGGCTGGGGCCCAGCCCTCAGGGAAGACATGGTTTCCTTCCTCCTTACCCTGCCAGAAAAGCAAGCCTTCGCTAGGAGCAGATTTTCACTCTAGCTGTGTATATACTACATTGGGCAACAGTTATGCAGAAATGGCTGCCATTATATTGATCTTAGTTTGCACTTTGTTTCAGTTATATCTGCCCGAATTTCACATTAGGAGAGCTGGAATATAATTGCAGGTGCCCCTCCGACCCATTACCCACATGGGTAAGGCGAGCGTCCTCCCCGCGCCTCCCTTCCTGTGGCTCTGCTCGGGCTGTTCCCAGACCAAAAGCTCTGGGCAGATCCCAAATCCACAGAAATCAAGGGGAAGAGTTACAGCGACCCAGACCAGCCCTTGCACAATGCCCTAACTGCTAAATTAAAGGGACATGCTCAGGCACCTCAATGCTAATATATATTTTTCCTGCTGGGTTCCCTTCTGCGCCAGCACCTCAACCCCTGCCCAAGCCCCAGAGGTGCTATAGGCGAGTACAACTCATGTTTTCCTGCTGCTGAAAGCGTGCCGGGGCGCACTGTGTGGTACACCCCACGCTTTCGGCGGCATGCTGGGAAGCCCGGGAGAGCCATACTCACGGGTGTCGAGATGGCCATGCTGAGCAGGCACAGGCACAGGCACACGAGGGTTGTTTGCATCTTGGGCAGCTCCTGCAGGCACAAAGCAAAGCGTCACTAGAGTTTGTCTTCCCAGGACTTGCGGTCCCCAACAGTCCCAGTCAGCAGCATCCCAAAAGCTCCTGCTGTCCCAAAGCCCCCATGGAAACAGAGTTATCCAGCGACCGCGGCTTTCCCCAGCCTTTGCAGTGGCCCTTGGCATCACTCCGCCTCTCTGCACGCCTCGCAGCAAAGGCGATGCTCTTGCCATGTGCATACAGCAGCAAGGCAAGGACCTGTGCACAGCCAGCAGCACCGAGTGGGCGCTCTGACACCAGGTGTTAAAGCTTCTTAACTCACTCTGTCAAAGCAGCTTGGGTGGATATTTACAATAAATGACCACCAAAACCACTGCAGGCTAAGTCATACAGTTGTAAGTCTGAATTAAGAAACTCACATGCTGTTTTCGATAGCACTGATAAATGGCAGGAGACAATAACTCTGTTGGCTAATAATTCTCATTTCACCCATCCACCCTAGCTTGGGCTCGCAGGTCCAGCCCGGAGACTATTTTCAGCCATGCAAGTGTTGCTACAGAAACCATTGGAAGGAAAATCATGCACAAGCATCAGCAGTACAAAGCAACCTAGGCTCAAAGGAGCGCGATGCAGAGATGCGTGCACAGCCAAAGCTCGGGCTGCCTCCCCGACCCCACCGCGGCTTGCCCCAAGTGAAAGCAGGAGAAGCCCTGCTCAGGGAGGGCAGAGCCGAAGGGCTGGGGAGAGACAGGGCAGGCAAACTAGGTAGGATTACCTTTCGCCGTCAGAAGCAGGTCCCAGCAGCAGACCGTGGAGGCTGTGCCCACTTTGCTGAAATTTAAAGTTGGCCCCGAGCGCGCAGAGCCAATCAGCTCCTGCCCAGGGACATTTGTCAGGGCTGGCAGCGCCCGCAGATAACCAGGGAGAGTAATTTCCAGCTAAAAATGTGTTTGTGGTGGAAGACAGCTATCAAATGTTCCACCTGGCTGGATAAACAGAAAGCATGGTTTATAAATATCTGTTCTGAAGGCGAAATTGCTCGATGATTAGCGCAGATCTTAGTGTGGAACACATCCAGCCTGGTTATTGATAAGGGGGGTGCAGCGGGTCATAGCGTGCTCGCCATGACCGACATGGGAAAGCCGGCAGGGCTGCAGAAAGGGAAGGGCGATACACCGAGCCTGGCCCGGCTGCAGCCACGACCGGCACCACTGGGCAGCGCTGGCCAAGCTGAGAGCCATCACCACGCTGTAGCCTCCGACACTTGCTTTTTGGGTTTCAACCTCATCCCCCCCGGTGCAAATGCAAAATAGAAGAGTGGTAAAAAAGGAAGAAAAAAAAAAAGGATTTTTTTCATGCGCTGCTTGCACAGATCCCTTCAAGCCCACCTTTGCTGTGGGAAGGTGCTACGAGGATGTGCACGATGTACGTACTCTCCTCCTGCCCCCCTCTAGCTTTGGCGGTATTGCTGGTCGCCTACGCATATGCCAAGGGGGGGTTCCCCTGCTGCGGCCAGCCTGGCTCAGTCACTCACTGTGGCGATGGTGACAACAGTTCCCATCCCACCCGCCACCCTGCCCCAACCCAAACCCTGGGAGCAGGCACAACCGCTGCATTATCACCAGAAAGGCTTAAACCATCAGCATCCTGAGGAAAGGAAACTTGCCCTTTCCCCCCAGCCAGGGAGCCACAGTTGGATGCTGCCCCGCAGGTACCAGACCAGCCAGCCGATGTGCCATGGCTTGGGGAGGTAGAGCTTTGGCCGGGTGCCCGGGGGGGCTGACGCACACAGGGCTGGGCTGGGCACCCCGTGGGAAGTGGGACCCGGCCCCCAGCAGTGCCAGGGCCCTTTGTCTGGGCTGGTTCACTGACGTCTTTGGGCACCCCCTGGGGATGTGGACGATAGGGCTCTTATGTCCCCCCCCACCAGCCACAAGCACGTGCAGGGCTCCCCAGTGCTGCCGTAGGGAATTTGGTACTGGGGGTGCCGACCCTGCAGGCAGCACCCCCTGCCACCCCGGCAGCTGCAGCCCAGCTCTGGCACATGGAGGCGGTTTTGTACAGTGGCCAGAGCTTGTTGCTGCGAAAATAGAAACTCATTTTGCAGTTGGGCCTATATTGGCAGCTGAACACAGGTTTCCTTTCCAGGAGTGCAAGGGCAGTGTGGTATCTGCCGTAACCCATATGTGAGGGCCATCACTTTTCCCAAATGGGGGCACCTGCCTGGAACCCAGTGGGATCTGGTCCTTCCCCAGCACTGGCGCTGATGCCCAGTTGGCCGGGGCCACAGTCCTGTGGGAAGGTGCCTCTGGGCAGGGATCCTGGGGACCGCAAGCTGGGCATCCCCATCGCTGATGCAGGAGGCGAGCGGACGCGCCGCTGTCACTGTGACAGCCCTACCTTGCCCTGGGGACGAGGCTGAGTGGCAGGGAGAGACGTGGACCATTTTGGGCTGCAGTGCCGGTGTCCGAAATGCATGTCCAAGGTGCCCAGCCTCGGTAGGACCCACATGCCTGGTGCAGGACTGCAGAAGCAAAGCTCTCATTACAGGGGTGTGCATCTACAGCTAGTGATGCACAGAAAGAGAAATTAATGTCTTTAGCTTTATTAATATTGCCTGGTGTGTGGTCAGGCCCTGGGAGGCATGCTACCAAGGAGTGGAAGACGTGGTAAAGTTATCGTCGCCCGCATATTGCAAATTCACATCAACTCTGCATAAGATGTGGCAGTAATCCCACAGCAGTGACCTTAAAAATGCCCTTCCGCTTTTTGGAGGGGACTCTACAGAGACTTTCCTAGTTAGCCTTTCTGTTCCTCCCTCCTTTTTTGCGCATCTGAGCTGGAATAGAGAGATTTAACCCTGAGCAGCGTGAGCACCTGTAGACCCTCAGCCCACCAAGCACCATGCCACCCTGCTGACTCCAGCAAACGTGGCAGCAAACCCTTCGTCACCAACAAGCTCAGTTCGGTTGCTTTATTTCATTTCGCTTTGTGAGATACAAAAAAAGCCTGGGACGGAGCTGGTGCGCACCGCAAGCCGCCCGGTGTCCCCTCTGGCGCGTGGCAGCTGCAGTGAGCCTTCGGATGCACGGTCCTGAGCGGGATGGGGCAGGCGAGGGGCAGCACTGGGGCCGCCCCCCCACCCGCTCACTGGCTGTAGTAGTAATCCTGGCCATACATGTCGTAGCCGTGCCCCTTGTAGTAGCCATACTCATCCTCGTAGGCCCGGTAGCTGTCTCCACGGGCATACTCATCCTGCTCCCCATAGCTGCCATCGGTGGTGCCCTCGTCCCCTCGGCCGTGGCCACCAGCTGTCACCTCATACTCCCACTGCTCCCCAGCTGTGGTGGCATCCGTGGGTCCCCCATCTCCTATGGTGGTCGCCTGGGACAGCCCCTCTTCGCCAGTGGTGCTGATGACGGTGGTGGCTTCGGTTTCCTCCTCCTCCTCCTCCTCCTCCTCCTCCTCTTCTTCTTCCTCCTCCTCCTCCTCTTCCTCCTCCTCAGCCGCGCCAGTGCCCTCCTCAGCTGCTGCAGTGCCGTTGCCATGAGGTGCATCTGCCCCCTTGGTGGTGTTGGTGCTTGTGCCATTGATGCCATTCTCGTTCTCGGCTACTTCTTCTTCCTCCTCCTCCTCCTCATTCTCGTCACTGTCTTCATTTTCAGAGTCACCCCCCTTGCCAGCAGCACTGTTCCTGCCCCCCTTCAGGGGCCCTTGGCAGCCCTTGCCCTGGCAGGAGGAAAATAACACGGCATTAGTCGGGTGTTGGGAGGCTGCAGCTTTTTGGTGCCGCATGGCATGGGGCAGGTGTGGGCACAGCTGAGCATCCCCCCCAGTGCCTTGCATGGCAAGGCTGCCTTTTTGGTGTGCCCCTTCCAACCCTCCCACCAGGTTAATGCCCAGAGCTTGGCCCAGATGTGGGCATCTTGTGCAGCAGACCCCCAGGCAGAAACAGGGTGCAAGGCATCCCGTGGGTGCAAGCAAGCATGCAGTGAACATACCCCTCCCACGGGTGCTCCCCTCCAGCCCCCCAAACCACACCTGCTGGGGGAATGTGACATCTCTTCCCAGCCCGCCCTGGCCGTCCCCAAGGGCTGCTCCGGCAGGGTGGCCAGCTGCCTCGGTGCCAGCATGGGATGGCTCCTGCAGGGACAGGGAGAGGACGGGGCAGGTGGTCAGCAGCGGGAGCAGAGCACAGCCCTCCCAGCAGCGAGCGGAGCATGCAGCATCCCCCCACAGCTTTTGGGCGCTGCTCCGAGTTTCCTGCTTTCCCACGGGTCTCGCCCCAGGCTGAAATCGAGAAGCTGCAGCAGGGCAGCCCAAGCCATGCAATTAAGCGGTGGTGGCTGGAGTCGGGTGTTCCCATTCTAGCTACACATTTTGCTTTACAAAGCATCTAAAGGTTTGCTTTTGAAGTTCTGTCTCCCAGTTTCCAATAAACAAAGCAAGCCACAGGCGCACTACATGCGGACACACTACACACCAGGTGTAGATAGCTGGTGAGAGAGTGACGGCTCAAAGCCAGGCATGAGCCCGAACCCCACCAGCAATAAGCCATCAGCCCTGCTTGGTCCCAGAGACCACGCAGCGGAGCGGGTCTCTCAGCGGGGTGCGTGGCAGTCTGCACCACTAAAAAAGGCAACGCGTAACCAAAATGCAAGCAGAGCCCTGAGCAACCACTGAGGACCTGGTGGGGCAGCTCACCCTGTCCCCAGCCTGGGGGTGGGTGGTTTGGGTTCATTTGCCTGTGGCATGGCGGGGAAGACACAGGGTCGCTACCATCCCTGCCCTGGGCAATCCCCGCTGCTCGCGTGCCAAGACCACGGACGCTCACCCTGGTGTTCTGGGCCAACTCAGACACTTAAAATATGGGTGCATCTGATGCCAGATAAAACCCAGGCTGTTTTCCTCTCCACTGGAAGGGCTACCAAATTGCATGGTGCAGCTGGCTGTGCTGATGGGAGCGATGCTCCCCCATCTAGCAGCTGCTATGAGGGTGCTCTTACATCCCTATAACTGACCTTGGGGCCTTTCATCACAATTTATCTTGCTGACCACCCCCTGCCAGTGAAGGCACACAGCATCCCTGCCTGGGAACAGCCACCGCTCTGGTGCCCTTGAAACGAAAGGGGCAGCCCTGAACAGCAGC